TGACGGGTAAGTACTAACAAGGGATTCCTTGTACACAAACATAAAAGTAGTCATTTCAGGATCAAAGTGTTTAGAAAATTCACTGTGGTTTATGTAGAGGCTGTTGGCGACTTTCTCCTTCTCCTTGAGCTTCATCTGAATCTGATCTTGGTAAATCTCGGTAGGCGTGAGAGGTATGAGGGTAATTTTGCGACCTTTGAACTCGAATGAGTGCTTGTTGGTATAACCGTCGTGTATCACCCTACGATCTGATTGCCACGGTCTGCCTAGCAACACATGACTCGAACCCATGGGAATGACGTCACATAGAATCTCATCTTCATACTTCCCAATAGATAGAGAAACCATCACTTGCTGAGATACGGTCAAGGCTCCACTGTCATTCAACCACTGAAGCTTGTACGGTCTTGGATGAGGAATAGTCTTGAGCTGGAGTTTCTTAACCATCTCTTCGCTTGCAGCATTAGTACAACTTCCTCCATCTATGATCAGGCTACAAACTTTTTCTTTAATGAAGCATCTCGTATGAAACAGGTTCTCTCGCTGACAAGTCTCTTCAGGTTGACTCTGAACACTCAAAGTCCTTCTGGCAACCAGCATCTCGCCCACGGCAGCAGCTTCTTCCTCTTCCTCTAATTCATATTCGGCCTCTGACTCCTCTTGAGGAACTATCTCTCCTCCCTCTTGTAACAAGAAAACCTTCTTGTTTGGACAATCTCGAGAGTAATGTCCCATTCCTTGACATTTGAAACACCTCACATTGCTGATGGAAGTACCACTTCTAGGCTTGAACTCAGCTTTAGCCTCCTATTTTACTCCAGTAGAGGGTGGTTTGATGTCCCTGGAGTAAGCTGGTTTGCTGATCTCCTTAGGTTTAGGCACACTAGGCGTGAATGTGGACTTGAAATTTCGCCTCTTGACTTGAGATTCCACCAATTCAGCCTTATGCACCATCTCTTGTATATCTGCGAAATCCTGAAGTTCCACCTTGTCTTGAATTTCTCGGTTAAGTCCTCCAAGAAATCTCGACATTACCATCTCTTCTCCTTCTCGTAAGTCAGCACGAATGAGCAAAGTTTCCAATTCCTGATAATAATCTCGAACAGACTTCGTACCTTGGACGAGGCGCCTGAGCTTGTTGAGTATTTCGCGCTGATGATGGGCTGGAACAAATCTCTTCCTCATCTGTATAACAAGCTGATCCCAAGTAGTAATTGGAAGTTCTATAAGGCGATTTCTGGTGACTCCCAACTGTTCCCACCATAGAAGCGCATACCCATGAAATTCTGACACTGCGATCTTCACCTTGTTGAGCTCGTAAGTTCCTTGGACCAGAAAATTAGACTCCATCTTCCTTTCCCAATCTAGATAAGCTTCGGGATCATTAGTTCCATGGAAAGAAGGATACTGGATTTTGATGTGGCGCAGTTGCTGACGTAGAGGATCATAATCTCGATCATGTCCTCGGCCTCGATTTTGTCTCACAGTTTCTCTGCTATGATCAGAAGCTTCGTCCTTCTCATAGTATTCTGGGTCTGATTCCAGGGTAACTCGATGCCCAGCAATATATTCCTCTCTGCGGTGCTGGCGATCTACTCTGAGGCCATCTCGTTCGGCACCAGTAGGATTCCTTCTCGGATTAAACGTAGTCTCTCTGCCCCAAATCTGGCTTCGACTGGACTTAGCTTTAGTCCTGGCTTTGGAAGGTGTTGGGTGGCAAGGAAGTTTCCGGGAAGATCCTATGTGCGCTTTACCCTTTGCTAAGCACATTGCTTCCGAAGGAGTTGGAGTTTGAGACGACTCTTCTCCACTTGCACTGAGGTCTTTGAGCAGATCATTCATCTTCGTCTCGAACTTGTCATTGAGTTGTTCGATTTGTTGTGTGAGCTGAGTTGCTATGGCTTGATTCGCTTGTTGAGACATTGCTCGGTTCAGAGCTTCCATCGCCTCAGCCGAAAGCTCCATGGTACCTGAAAAAAATTTTAAAAAAACTCGCAGTAACTTGTTCTAGAAGTAATCACAAAAACAGCAGAACTAAACTCATCATAAAAAAAAAATTAAACGATCCCCACAAAATCTAAAAACAAACTTAACGAAACTAAAGAATTTTAACGAAATTTTTTTTTTTTTTTTGTACTCTTTTTTTTTTTTTTTTTTTTAATTCAAACTTAACGAAATCACAAAAAAAAAGATTTCCTAACAAGCCTACACGAAAAAAAACGATGAACAACGAACCCTAGCTAATTCGAAAACTACGAATCCTAACAAACTAAGGACACAAAAACACAAAGCGATGAACAACGAATTATCAAGTCTACTAAATCGAAAACACGAGTTATCAAACCTAACTAAATCAAAAACAATCGAAACCCTAGACACGATCTACCAAACTCGATACGAAGCAATAAACTCGACACCACACGATACAGACCTAAACGAAACCTACACAACACAACAATAATACAGCAACACAAATCGATGATTAGTAATAACGAAAAGAGACCAGATCGATGCGACCTAACAAAAACGTAGGAGTGATGCAACGAAGTAAACTAATAACGTTATGATGACTCAATGAAACAGAAGAAAATCAATGCAAACAATCACCAGAATTCGATAAACCCTAATAATCTAAGCAACGAAGATCGAACAATAAATCAAGTCAAATCTGGCGATTTAGGGTTAGAGATTTCTCAGCCTTTGGTTCAGAGTTGGCTCTAATACCACGTGATACGATCCTAGGTGATCAACTCTGAAGACAAGGCACAGGCGAATAGAGATCGTGACTTGAAGGAACAGATGCGATGTGAATGGTGCAAGGAAACAGCGACGGTGGCGCGGCGAGAGATCGATGGTGTCGTGAAGGGGAATATGGTGATCGGTTTGGTGATGAAAAGGATGGTGTTGGTTGAACGAGTCGACGTGAGATGATGGTGATTCGGCGGCGTGGGTGATAAGAGAAGATGGCGTGATAGATTAGATGATAGGTAGAAGATTTTCTTGTAAGAAACACTTGTAAGAAAATCGAATTCAATGAATTGTTTGAGTCAAGGAATCAAAGCAAACTTTGCTATCTCTTTTTACGTTAAAATTCCAAGCTGCCTTACAAAGAGACTAAGTATCAGATACTTATAGTATCGACAAAAGACCTAGAGTACTCGCCCAAATAAACATCAAGGCGTCTAAAACTAAAAACTACAAAGCGTCTGAATTAAAATTAAAACAACGAGGCGTCCCTTCTAAATCCTAAGTGGTGCGCCTAAAATAAATACTAGTGCACAAGTCATTGTGACTTTGCACATTATTACCCATTAGTAACAACTTCTAAGTAACTCGACGTAGCAATGATTTCTGCCTCGTTAAAAACCTTGGAGAAGAACCTCCTTGCCTTCCAAAATCCTCACCAAGGAAAAGAGTACAGAATCATCACCTAAGTTACCTAGTCATTGTTACTGGGTTCTTCATTCTTCAAGATAGAGATGTCGAAGATGTGAGCTCCAGCCTCCAGTTGATCGATGTCCTCTGCGGCCATGAGCGCGTGAGCCTCCTTAGCCATCTCTCTAGCTCTGGAACGAGTGATCCTGCCAGCTACCTCTGGTTCCTCCTCCTCTGAGCTGGTCACGATCATATCAGTATAGATGGCAATGGACGTAAGTCTTAACGTTATATATTTATTGTGTGATTGTTGTAGACAGCTCCTGTAAATAGATGGATGGAAGAATATACTAATGAGTAGCTTATCATAAATAAGATTGCATCAGTTTCATAAGACATTCTCAGCTTCTGCAAGTTTTGAGAGATTTGTTTGGTTGGTTTCTTATATTCACATTAAAAAATTGGTATAAAGTGTAGACGGTAGTGTGTAAATTATAGGCGTGTTTTTTAATTCCATCTGTGGATCTTGGTCTTCATTATAAAAAGCCATTTTACATGCAAACTCTATAATGAAAACATTTCTAGTTTGAAGCGTTATCCTGCTATTCTTTAATTATAGTGAGACTGACATAAGATTTTGTATACTTTGTAGGTATGAACTCCAACGAGTTACCGAAACTGCTGTTTCCGCCTGGAAGTGTGCCTCCGATTGAGAAGATTACCAGCCGATGTTCATTATCCATTCTAAGAAAGTTGAATGAAAAGCTGCCAGATGAGTACAAGAAGGTTTTGAATGATCCTGTCTTCGGTCTGATTCTTAGGATTAATAAAAACAGACTTGACTACTCGGCGAGACTCATTCACAGTTTCATGTGTAAGCAGCTCATCACGGACAAGATTCATGAGCTATGGTTCGTCTTTGCTGGGAGACCTTTGCGATTTTTTTTACAGAAAATCTATGCAATCACCAGGCTCAACTATAAAGACTCTAGGAACTGCAACTTCAAACCATGGAAAGATGATGGCGGTTTCTGGAGTTCTGTTCTCGGAAGTAATGGAGGAGTAACCCTTGATAAATTGATGAAGGTGCACCTACAGGAAGTGAACACATGGAGACGCGAGGATAGATTGAGGCTGGTCTACATCTGTATAATTGCGGGGTTTGTGATGGCACAGGATGCACAGATTTTTATTCCGCGTGAATACATCATATTAGCGATGGATATAACGAAACTCCAGAAGTACATGTGTGGTATTCATGCGTATGATTTCCTGGTCGATAACGTTATTAAGACATGTGACAAGCTGAGTCATATGAAAAGGTATCATTTAGACGGTTTCTGTATAGCTCTTCAGATTTGGGTAATGGAGGCAATCCCAGATTTCGGGACGTTGTTCGCCACACGAGTTGGGAATGAAGACACATTTGTTCCTCGGTGCACTAAGTGGAAATGAATTTCTAGATAGTCATACAATGACATGTAAGTAGTCAACTGGAAAGCACTTTCAAAGCGCATGTAAGTAGTGTTTTTTACAATGTTAAAAATCGCACTTCTCTTTGTTTCTAACTAATGACATGGTTTTTTTTTTTTGTTATTCAAATTGAATTAATCGACCCAGAAGAATCAGTGGATTAGATCGATGCAGATGAAATCTACACAGACAAAATCAATGGAATTAATAGAGACAGATGAAATCGTAAGAGAAATCGATGGTTATCTGGTACCTTTTGCAAATCTCAGAACTAAAATCCACCCAGAAGAAATCAAAACAAAAACAAATGTATATACCTTTGATCTGGAGTTGAATCTGCTTAAGAGTTGGTCTGGTGTCATGGACAAGAAAGAAGAAACTATTATATATGAATCTCGCGACATGAATTTAGGAATTATGGAATCTAGAGATTTAGAAAAAAAAAGTTCACCCATGCTAATCGAACACACGAGCAATTTTGTAGGAGTGAAAAAGTGTAACCAGCGGTACTATGCACCTCATTTGCATATCACCCCCCAGTGTAAAAACTCATGGATAAAACTAAAAAAGTGTTGCAAAGAAAACTCAAACGAGCATAGAAAACAAAATTTAAACGACCATAAGTGTTGCATCATTCGAACTAAAACATAAAAAGTAGTCTATATTGGTATGTCAAATGTCCCTCTTTGTGACCGGCTACACTTGTGCTTCTTAGACCCTTGTGATCCTTGCGAGGAGTGTATCTTGTCCTCCACCGTCTCGTATCGTCATTTTTTTTTACCAGCTGCTCCTCGTGTTTCTGGTGGTAGAACTCTGGCGTTTTCAACATCCACCGGTACTTGCCATGAATCCTCAGGAACACTTATTGGATTAATGCATTCCTCGTAAGCCTTTCTCCGTGCTGCAGTAGTGTACATGTCATCAGTGAGTGGGTGTAGTTCTCTGTCCACTGAAAAAGCTGCTTTAATGGCGTGTCTGCAAGGAATTTTCAGCAAGTCGTACTTTCCACAAGAACACGATCTAAGCTCTAAATCAACAAGGCAGTCAATTTTGCCACCTCTAACCAGAAATTGATTATGGTTTACCGGATAAACAATAAATATTTTACCCTTTTCAATCCTCCTACCAATCTATCTCTCAACCTCAATGGTTAAAGGGTCCTTATGCTTTGCGCTTAGTCGTCCACGTTCGTAAAACTATTTTGTCAATATTTCTCTTATGCTGTCCAACAAAGGTATTACTGGATACTCTCTAGGTGATTTCAATGCAGCATTAATCGATTCGGCTGGGTTAGTGGTTCTAACATTATACATGAATCCTGGAAATTTGCAACGAGCCCACTTTTCGACGCCAGCCTCAACAAGATAATTTCCAACAAGCAGACTAATATTCTTAATATCGTTGAATTTCCTCTCAAAATCACCAACTCTATATTCTTTTGATGCCTTTGCAATCAAGCCAGTCAAACCCCTTGTCTTGAAATATGTGACAACGTTAGTCAGCAAATGGTGGATGCAAATTCCATGTGTAGACTGTGTAAACACTTTAGCAAGTGTTTTAATGACAGAAGTATTTTGATCAGAAATAAACGCCAATATCTGATCATCTGCGATGACTATGTTTAGTTTCCTTAGAACCCGCTCCCATGACAAGTCTTTCTCTGAATCAACAACACCAAAAGCAATTGGATACAGATTCGAGTTACTATCTAAAGTTGTAGCAACGAGCAGAACTCTCTTGTATTTACCTTTCAGAAAAGTACTGTCGACAACTATCACTCTACGAATTGCTTGGTAGAATCCTTTGATAGATTGCCCAAATAAAATAAATAGATACTTGAATCTATCATCAGAATCAGTTACGTAGTGAGTATGCGTACCCGGCTTAGCTTCTTTCAACATGTGCAAGTATTTTGGAATTTTGCCATAACTTTTTTCTGGAATACCTCTTACAGCATTTTCTGCATACTCTTGGACTCCCATGCTTGATCGTACGAGATATCGCAACCATGTTCTGTATGCATAATCTGTATAATTTCTCTTGGTTTAGGCCCTTCCTTAACACCCTCATACTTCTGCATAATCAGATTGTCGATTGTTTTAGCTGATGCTGTCCTAGTTATTTTGTTTTTCCTTTATGGCGCACAGGTACGTTTAGCTACATACTTGTTGATTTTAAAATACATTGACCCCTCTAGACACTCTGCGCGAACACGCCAATTACATTCACCATCTTTGCAGCGAATAGACCACCATTTTTGGTTGAATGTACCACACTGTAGTCAAAGTTGTGCTTCATAGCACAGATTTCAAAAGTTGCTTTCAGTTCGCTTTTGTTTCTGAAATTTTGTCTCTTTTTTACAGCGTCAATCATCCAAAACCGACCTTCCTTGTTACTTACTTCTTCAATATCCCAGTTCAGGGCATCATATGCAGAAAAGCCCTCATCCTGGCTTTCACACAAATTGACTTTCGAGATAACTTTCCGCTGATCAGTAACGAAATACAATGTTAATTAATAAGAAGGAAATGTTAATGAGTAACGAAATACCACTGATCAAAAAATTTCAATTACAATGTTAATGAATAAGAAGGAAATGAAAAAAACATAACGAAATAAAAAGAAGATAACTGATCGAAAACTTAATCGAATAATTTGGCTTCGATATCTCATTTTGTGTAGTCTTCCTCATCAATTGCATTTCATTGTTCTCTTTGTTTTTAAAATAAAACAACAAAAAGAAAGTTTAACATGACTACAAAATTCAAGAAATGAAAAAAAAAATAACAAACTTGGAATTGTAAGGTCAAAAGAAATATTAACATCATATATAATGGACTCTAGATTGAAATATTGCAACAACAAATTTGAATTATAAAATATTAGAAACAACAAAAGGAGAGTTTGGCATGACTAAAAAAAATCAATAAAATGAAAAGAAATAACATACTTGGAATTGTGCGATCAAAAACTATTAACATTCTAAATAATAGTTTTTCTCTGGTTCAGCTCTAATTGCTCAATTTCATCATCATCTTTTTATTTTGCCTTATTTTACTTCAGCCTAACCAAGCAATAATCCAAAACGTGTTAATTTTTTTTTGATAAAAAGCAGGTTAATTGTAGACCACTTTTCTTGATTTATTATTTAAGAAAGAAAATCATTAATTTGTTAATTTTTCCTTATCCCTTAAATCTTGGTTCAACCTTCTCAAGCACATCTAATTGATGCAAATCTATCTATAAAACAAACATAAGCTTAAGATTCTTGCAAGTATCAGGCAGAAAAAATATATGTTAGTATGCAGAGAAATACAATAAGAAATTTTACCTTTAATTACCTATATAAGATATTACCTCTAAATTCTATTGCGCAAACATCCTACAAAATTACAAACTACTATGAATATACACACAATATAATAAAAATGCAAAGACTTTTTTAATAAATTACCTCTTATGCATGGTTGTTTTTCAATGGCATGTGGTTTGAGGGTAGTGTAAGAAATAATGAACTTGCAATACATACATATATATAGTGGTAGATTTAGCTTTTATAAGTTTAATTAGAATAATTTTTATTAATTTGATTCATTAGTGTGCTTACTACACCAAATCTTCTATTATTATTTTACAAGGACACATTAAAAAAAAAAACTTTTGTGTCATGTGTGATTTACAATTGTGCCATGCTGATATTTCAAGTTCAGAGAGCTTCTCAGATCTATATTAAAAGTGGTCTCTAATTACTAGAATAATTACAATTCTGCTATTTTAGACCATAACAACTATTTACATTATCTTATCTTATATTTTAAGATATTATCTTATACTACTATGTTTATATATTTGCATAATTCACAAATTTAATATATATGCATAATGTAAAGTATAATGATATTACAACTATATTTTGAGGCATGTTATCATTGTCATAGATGCATTTTTAATTATATAATGATATTACAACTATTTATTAATATATTATGTATGTATTTTTATAATGTAATTTATATGCGTTAAACAAATCACAAGAATATTTTGACAAAAAAACCAAAGCTAATTAATCATAACTATCATATAATTTATACTTATATCTAATTAATTTTTTTTAAATATAGTCTTTTTTGAAACAAATCTATAAAAAATAGACAAAACTCACTCCGCACAGAGCGCGGATTACTACCTAGTTTAGTGTAAATCTAATATTACATATGTTAGAATCAATGAAATAAATGTAGGTTTTAATTGGGAAATTAATATTAATATTGTTATTTAAAAAAAAAATTCTCAATGACTATATAGTTTTATCGTTACATGGAAGGAACCCAAAATTAAAGACAATTAATTTTCTAGAATTAAAGACAATTAATCATAATAATTCAGAAGAAATATCTTAGAACTGATTTGTAACTCTTATGGAAAAAACCATTAATCATACTAATTCAAAAACATTCAAGACAAATCAACTAATTTCGTAACCAAAAATAAAAGTATATTAATAATTCATAACCAATTAAGCTAAATCAAATGATATACATTACTTTTATTTCCACAATTGCTTTATTTTTGTCAAGGAGTTTTTTTATGAGTTATGATATTTTTAATTTTGGTCATTAAGATGGAAAATATAGTTTATATATGATTTAATTTTTTAAAGTTCAGTGAAATACTTGAGAAACAATGCAACATTTCTTTATATATGTGATTTAATTATTTACATATGGTGTTAATTGCATACGTTTTATTTGACACCATTAATGTAGTTAAATAGCAAATTATTTATATATAATTTTTTGTTAAGAAAAAGATGAATACATTACATGCATGTGGTTGATTGAATTAAATATGGTTTTAACTCAATGTAGTTTTTTTGTTCAAAAAATTAATATAGTTTAATTGTGTAGTTTAAATAAAATAAAATATTTTTTTTTTAAAATGCCAAGTGGCCCAATAGAAAAAGAGTAAAACCATTCTTTTATATATATGATTCGGAGAGCCAAACACGTTCGGCCTAATCTTGCCTCACATGCTTAAGCCCATAAATAATTCTCTGAGCGCCAGCCCACGTAAACTCCATTGATTGGGTTTTCCAATCACAAATAGTTGGGCCCAACTGTTCAAGCCATTGAATTCCTATTACCAAATCCAATCCCGTCAACAGCATAGCGAACAGATAGATTTTGAACAAATAGATTTTGAAGATGACTCCGCCGAGATTGACTGCAACCTTCGCGAATTTGCCTCTGCAAATGAGTGGAAACCCGTCTGCGACTTTGACAGTGAATGGTTTTGTGGTTGTTATCTTCAGGTTCAAACGATTTCTTGTCTTTTCGCTTATAAAATTATGTGTGGAGCCACTGTCTATGAGGGTCACCAGTTGCTAATTAGTGATAATCGTGCGAATACAGAGAGTTTTCGGAGAATCCCATCCTGTCAGAGATTGCAGGGAGATCTCTGGTTCGTCTACCCCTGTCTCGGCTCTTCCTCGTCACCGGCATTGTCGTCGTCTTTGCCAACCATCAATAGCAATTGTGATTTCTTACAAACGTGGCCTGGGGTATATCTCGGTTTAATGGCTCATATGCCATAATTTGGAAAAAAGAAATCTGTAGTGCCATAATATAATCTGAGTGCCATAAACCACATGAAAATCCCATTTTATCCTTAATGAATTGATTTTGTGGCATATGTGATTTTATAAAAAAATGATGTTTAAATAAATTTTTAATTAATATATTAAAATTAAAACGAAAATTAATTAAAAAATAAAAAATTTGTTTTTCTTTTCTTCCTGGATTCATCTCTTCGTCTTCAACCTCAAACCTGCTAAATCTCATCTTTCGCCTCTTCCTCTTTTTCCTCTTTCTTCATCATATGCATTCAGTTTCTTGTCTTTATCTCCTTTCTCCACCACCATTGTTAAAGTTTCAAAAACCAGTTAGGTTTTTATTTGGAGATTTAGGGATTTCACAATTTAGGGATTGGATTTACAAAAATTGAGTGTTCGGTATGCAAATTGGATTGGTAACCCAGTTTTATGTGACGATTAGGTATTTGCATAGATAATTTATCGAATATAGTTAGTTGAATCGTAGTGATTCTTAGGTAGATTGAAATTAAAACCCGAGTTCATCACAAAATCTCCAGAAGAGGACAACTGGTACGAATGGTACAACTAAGAGATAAGAGGACAACTAGTACAACTGGTACAATTATGAGATAGAGGACAACTGGTACAATTATGTATAACTAAGTTTAGTTTAAATAATTGCTGATTAAAAATTCTTTAATTATAATTGCAAATCGGGTTGGTAACCTAGTTTTATATGACGATTAGGTATTTGCATGGATAATTTCTTAACTATAGTTATTGAATCGTAATGATTCTTAGGTAAATTATAATTATACATGAATTCATCACCAAATCTGCAGAGGATAACTGGTACGAATTGTACAACTAAGAGATAAGAGGACAACTAGTACAACTGGTACAACTGGATTCTTAGGAAAGTCAATCTAATCTAGAAGATTTGATTTTTGGCCGAGAATGCTTTCCGTATGGAAATAAACAAGGTACAACTAGATACATATGTAAAACTATATGCAATTCTTTCATTAGAAAATGATAATGATAAAACTATAAATATAAAAAGCAAACATTCACTTAAAAAATGAAAAAAGTCATAAACTATAAAAAATAAAATTAAAAAGATGGATAACATGAAATTATTGTTTTCCTAATACATATTATTGGTTTCACATCAAACACTCTTTATGATACAATCAAGACTTTGATAATGTTAACTATCTTATGATGGAAAAAAACCAAAATTATGATTTTGCATAAATTGTAGTATGAAAATGTTGTAAATGGATTACAATAGTCAAAAATCATGTGGACAACTACAAAGTAATAATTTATATCAAGGGACAACTGGAAAAAATGCTAAAATCGCCAAATGACAACTGTGAAGAATTT